TAAAAAGTACTAGCTCTATTTCCCCTTTTAAAATAATAATTTGTATGATTTTAAGTGTAACTGGGACTGTATACTTTACAAATTCATACAAAAACTATATAATCAACCCAGGAGAATTTCATCCCCAAACTGGCAGTAGGATGGGGCTCAGGTGCTATGAAATGTGAATTTAAAAAAATACAGTGTATTGCCAGGTGTGGTGGCATGCACCTATAATCCCAGCACTCAGGAGGCTGAGGCAGGAGGATTACTTGAGTTCCAGGCCAGCTTGGACTACATAGTGAGACCTTGTCTCAAAAACAACAACAACAACAACAACAACAACAAAACTCAGTGTGTGTTACTGCCAAGTACTACCTAAAGGAAAGGCAGGCTCATAAAGACATTACCATGTGACTTCTGGCTCTTCCCAAAAGACAAAATGACTATGAAAGCTAAATTTTTTGAATCATTTCAAAGCATTTAGGCAGCCACAACAGCACAACTAAAAACACTCCAGAAAGAAAACTTCCAGAACTGGTTCAGAAGTGGCAAGAACGATGGGATAAATGTGTTGGAAGCAAGTGGAAGTATTTTGAGGTAAACTGATGACAATGTGAATTTTAGTATAATTTTTAAAAATTTAAACATTCACCGTATTTTTTACTAAATCTCATATATTACTAAAAAACTATATCTGTTCTATTAGTTAAAAACTAGAACTCTTGTCCCAAATACACAAAGTAAAATCTTTTTCAGTTCCCATGATTTTTTTTTTTCAGTGTATAACCTGTGAAAAATTTCGTGGCATAATACATTTTCTGTTAAGTCACTGGAATATATTACCTAAAATAGAATTATATCCCAAGGTAGACATCTTGTTTAATATAAATCCTAATTTTTATAACAAAAATTCATTAACATTTATCTATAATTGAATTAGACCAGGTGAAGTCAGCATGTTGGAGTGAATTAGCCTTCTTCATGAATGGCTGTTGTTTCTCAACAACTAAAAACATTGTGCAGTCAGACAGGAGCAGTGGCCATGTGTCAGCCTTTCCTACTTTCAACATTCTAAAATTTATTAGCTAGAAGAGGAACTGCTTTGCTAAAAGGTTGTGTATTTTTATTCTTCATTGTATGTTAAGGGTCATAAAGGGGAGGTTGACCAATTTGTTGAGGAGTCAAGAAGTGAGAGCTGAATAGGACCATCTCTTCTCCCTAACTAGAGTCATTGTTTTCCTCAGAGTCACAAGGAGGCAATAGGAATGGGAAATTGGACTAAGAAAATATTAATGAATGAGACTTGTTTGGACAAGACATTTACTTGGTTTTCCTTCATAGCAAAAGACATTTTCTTAGGAACAAGGTACTGTGTCAGATAGTATGTGTTACAGCAGAGATGTTCATCTAAAAGCTGATCTTCACGTTGTTTATGCCTCATGTTGTTATGAGTAAGGCTAGCATGACTGATAGATAATAAGAGTCTAGCGCTGTGCTATTTTAGGGCCAGTAGAGCAACTAGAGAATCTCTTGAGTCAGTAAACAGTTCAAGAAAACAATACAGTACTGATGGACTGCTATTTAATGTGTTGAGAAGGAAATTAATCTGAAATTCTTATCTTTGCCTTTACTAAAAATATGTTCTGGTGGTTTATAATCTAAACACACAATATATAGGTAATCCATATTACATAATGATATATATGTATATGTCATCTTCTTTGTTAAAAAAAGTCTGATGTTTCACAGTTTACTAGACACATGTATGTATAGTTTCTAATACATGTTCTCTGATATGTAAAATATCTAGTCCTGATGTTACATGGGTATTGGCGATATCCATGAGAATATTATTCTTTTGAGTAGAGTGGTTTGAGATTTTTTTGTTGTTGTTGGTACCGAAGATCGAACTCAGGACCTTGTGCTTGCAAAGCAGGCGACGGCACCACTAAGCTAAATCCCCTGCCTGAGAATTCATTTTTTAAGTTGTTTGTTCATTTCAAGTTCTTTTTCTAAGACTTTTTCCCATAAGAAAATGTTTGTATTTTCCCATATAAACATACTTAACAGTTGAGAAATTTGAGTGGAAATTAAACTAAGGATATTTACTATAATAACAGGTAGGGCTTTTTGAACCTCCTCTTTTTTCCCTAGTTTGGAATTCAAATTAAAGTAACCTTCTCTGTGTTATAATTCCATACTGCTAGTGTGAAAAATGAAAGAAGCACTCTAACAATCTTAATTTCTTCCATCAATATTATGTGCAGACATGTGTTGCTTAACAATGGAAATACATTCTGAGAAATGTATCTCAGATTGTTTTGTCATCATGAAAACATCTTAGAGTATACTTACACAACACTAGATGGTTTACATAAGTCACTCCACCTGTCCTCTTGGTGCAATCAAGAGGTTAACATGAGATGCATGAGGCTGCTTCTGGAATAACGTAGCATACTGTTTTACAATAAACTATTTTTAAATATAACTAGAAGGAATACACTTTAGAGATAAATATATCGTAAATACATAAACCAGTAACATAGTTGTTCATTATCAATTGTTAACTAACTGTATGTGCTATATGTTTGTAGAACCAGCAGCATGATAGTTTATTTACACCAACATCGTGACAGCAAAGCATTGCATTGCATTGTACTGTGACATTGCAATGGCTATGATGTCAATAGGCAATGGGAATTTTGCAACTTACATGACCACTGTCATATATGTGGTCCATTGTTGACCAAAACGTTGTTATGTGATATGTGACTCTATTTGTTATTCTAATTGCCTACATTGCTTCTTGTCATCTTCAATCCTTTCTTTTCATTATCTGAAGCCTTGAATCTAGTCTTAGAACTTAGGACCAACCCTGATGCTTACAAACAGGATGGAATGAAGGAGAGAAATGAAATTTAAATGATTAAAGTGAGTTCTCTACCTGAGTGGTTCAATATCAAGTGAGATCTCACAATGATCTTTTCCACAGTCCTAGCAACTGAACCTTCATTGTACCACAATTCTTATAATTAAATTTCTATCTTGATCACTTTCCTCATTCCCAATTTCTCTCACAATTCTATCATCCAAGGCATTCAAAGCTTGTTCCTGCACTCTAGTCTCATTATGAGTTGGTAAACTGGCCTACCTACAGCTAAGTGCTGTCCTGCTTGGATCATTTGTGTTTTTTGCTTCTAGATTCCCCACTTCCCTGCTTTTCCCCTGATGTGGTTGCACCTCTTTGCCAATTATGCAAGCCACTTGTCTTGACTGCCAGCTGCAGTCTAATGTAGGTATCCTTCTATGTACTATGTCGGTCTGTCTGAACATCCTGCCATCACCCCTAGTTAGGCTAACCCTGGCCCCCAACCTGTCCTGTTACAGTGTTTAGCTGACAGGAGATGTGAACAAGTGATTAAAATTGACCAATGTAAGGGAGTCTTATTTTGCTTATACTAAAACCTTGATCTGAGAAATAAAAGATTTTGACAATAACCACTGTGACCCTATGATCATTACATATAGGCTTAGAAAGTCTTAATAGAATTATAAAAATATGTTGCTAATATGGTCAAATATCAGACTTGTGTAAATTGGTCATTCATATATTAGTAAATGTGCTAAATTGAGTGTAAACAAAGAGACATGCAGTGATCCTTGTAATTAATATTGTAGAGCAAAGAAGGGGTTTTAAAAGTTTAAGAGTATTTGTACTTATAAAAGTGAAGATAGTTCTTTACTCACAATAAACTGAGTAATTGGATCATTTAACATTGAGACAGGTTTATATTCTAATACAGAGGTTTACAACTTCTCTAAAGGGCTAACAGTAAATATTTTAGTCTCTGTTGCAGCTGCTCAGCTCTGCTACTAGGGCGTGAAAGAAGCCATAGACAAGAAGAAAATAAATGTGACTGTGTTCCAATAAAACTTTTATAAAAGACAAGGAGTAAGGACCTCAAAAAGCTTTTTTTTCCTTAATTTTCCAACTCTTCTTATACACCCAAATGGTTACATTTTGATTTTAAGGCTATATAACACCATGTAAAAACACAAGGGAGAAGTAGGAGTGAAACAGTGCTCTCGTTTATTTACTAGTCACCTGGTAAATGGATCAGTGCTCTGTTACTAAAAATAAGTTACAGAGCTGGGAGGTTTTTGTTATAAGGCCAAGTACATGTACGGCTACAGAAGGAGAAGGGAGAAGGACTACAGGTGTAGTAAAGAATTATTTTCTGTCCGAGGACCAACTTCGCGCCTATTTATTTACATACAAGGAACACCCTCAATTACAATTTACCTTGTATGTTCTGAGACCATAAGGGAAATCATAAAACAAGAAAGGAAAGGAAAGGAATGGGAAGGAAAGGAAAAAAGATCCAAGTATTTAGGGTTTGATGCTTTGTTTTCCCCAGTGCCCCTTCCACTTGCCACCTTTCTTCTCTGACCCCTTTTCATATTCACTTTACATGGCTCCTCTTATCCCTCCTCGTTTATCTCCCCGGTTCCTTCTCCCTAGTCTCATTAAAGCTCTTGCAAAAGGGTTGTATATTCTGAAACTTGTGCAGGTTTCTAAGTGACGCTGAGCATGCTCAGTAGCGAGGGCAGGTTTTGTTCCCCAGCAGCTGGCCTGATTCGACCTCTCCCGAAATAGACATCTGCCTCTCTGAACTCCTGTCTAGGGATGTCATTCGTTTTTGCTCTCTCCTCATTTTCAAGGTTCAAAGGGAAGCAGCAAGGATTCCGAAGTCCCACTGCCCTCACAGCCAATGAAGGGCCGGCGAGGGAGGAGCCTGGCTCAGCTAGAGCTTCTAAGGAAATCATCCTCTGTACTTGCAGTGAAGTCTGAGCCCTGCTGCATCTGTTACAGCACAACAAAGTAATGAAACAGTAGAGGGGAAACGCTGAGCGCTTTGGGATGCCTTAGCCCTTTCTGAAACATTTGCCAAGGGTTTCTGTGGAGCACGATCTTTTAAAACGAGTTTTTCTTGAAGGTGGTTTGGGTAACTGGGAAAATGATACATATGCTAAATGCAGCCTCTGATCGAGTGAAATGGACCAGATCCGGTGCTGCTAAGAGGGCTGCCTGTCTGGTGGCTGCGGCATATGCCCTGAAAACCCTCTATCCCATCCTTGGCAAGCGCTTGAAGCAATCTGGGCAAGGAAAGAAAAAAGAAGCTTGCCGGGCTGCAGAGAACAGAGGAATACTGCATTGCACCGAGACCGTTTGTAAAAAACCTTCTCCTGGAGTGAATGCAGATTTTTTCAAACAGCTGCTAGAACTTCGGAAAATTCTCTTTCCAAAACTTGTGACCACTGAAACAGGGTGGCTGTGCCTCCACTCGGTGGCTCTAATCTCAAGGACCTTTCTGTCTATCTACGTGGCAGGTCTGGATGGGAAAATTGTGAAAAGCATTGTGGAAAAGAGGCCTCGGACGTTCATCTTCAAAATAGTAAAGTGGCTTATGATTGCTATTCCTGCTACCTTTGTCAACAGTGCAATAAGGTACCTGGAGTGCAAGTTGGCTTTGGCCTTCAGAACTCGCCTCGTAGACTACGCTTATGAAACCTATTTCACAAATCAGACTTATTATAAGGTGATCAACATGGATGGGAGGCTGGCAAACCCTGACCAGTCACTTACTGAGGACATTATGATGTTCTCCCAGTCTGTGGCTCATTTATATTCCAATCTGACCAAACCTATTTTAGATGTAATTCTGACCTCCTATACACTCATCCAGACTGCTACATCCAGAGGTGCAAGCCCAGCTGGGCCTACCCTGTTAGCAGGGCTTGTGATATATGCTACTGCTAAAGTGTTGAAAGCCTGCTCTCCCAAATTTGGTAAATTGGTGGCGGAAGAAGCTCATAGAAAAGGCTATTTGCGATACATACACTCCAGAATTATAGCCAATGTGGAAGAAATTGCCTTTTACAGAGGACAGAAGGTAAGACAGAAATTAAGGTGATGAGTGAAACATAAGACTGTTTAGTGACTATAGTGCTAGATACCATCTGTTGTATTGTTAATGGCCCCACTTGCTTAGCATTTTGCATTCTTCTGATATTGAAACTTGTATTAAAATATGTACTTCATTGTCCTTTTAAATCACAAGTTGTTGAAGAGTTATAAGTGCAAACTTTACTAAGCTTTCATCAGAATAAAATTTCAACACTCTAACAAACAATCTACATAGACTCAGTTACTCAAATATAATCAAAATCATCTGAAAGTATTTTCTTAAACTTTAAATCCTAACTTGGTAGATGGTCCTAGAACATGTGAAGGAAATATATATTTGGAAACTAAGAATAAATACCTTTCCATTGAGATAGAAAATTTAGGAGGATATTTGTTGTTGTTGTTATTAGGAAAACTCCATGCTTTTGTATAGAAGACAATTTTGACAATCTTGCATGTCTGATCAATAATGGCCTGTTTTAAGAAGTATAGGAGAATGTCTCACAAAGTAACATTTCCATTACTCTTAATTCATTTTCAGCATGAATATTTTGACACAAATAAAAAGAGATGAAATAAATTTTGTTTAGCTTCAAAGAAAAAACTGAAATAAGTAAATAAATGAAGACAGGGAGTTCCAGAATACTATTTTAAGTTATATTAAAATTAACCCAATTACATAATCTTGTAGTGCATAAAAGTAAATGTTGAAGGTAATGCATGTGAAATGACTTGGCAGATGAAATATTAAGATATTCTAAAATTGAAGATGGTATTTTAATGATCAAGCAGAATTATTTAATTCATAAAGCATTAGCAATTATCAGTTTTATAATACCAGAACCAACTGAACAAATTTAGAATGTCCACTTCCACTTGAAAATTGGTCTCAATACGTTGTATTAGTTATTTTGATTTGTCATTGTTCTTGAATAATTGAATACAGCACAGTAAACTATGGAATGTTTATTTTTAGATATTTTTGGTGTGATCAAGAATAATATGGATCTACCATTGTTTATACATATCTTATAGAATATCATTTAATGTTAACATCTTATAATTTTGAAATCTTATCTATAAATCATATATGTGCAGGCTAAGCAAGTTGTACCACTGAGCTATATCCCCAGCCCATTTGTATATATTTTATGCTTAGTTTTTTCAAATAAAGCAAGTGTAACCAAGACTTATCATGACTATAATATTAATTTACCTTTATCGGTTGTTTAGACTTGTAAATAATGCTATATTAAGTAAACAAAGTAATACAGTACATCCATATAATTATATAAAGTCTTGAAGCACATGTGATATTTTCATAATTCATGCTGGGTTAATTCTAATCTATTTCCTCCTGTAGATAGAAATGAAGCAACTCCAGAAAAGTTACAAAGCTTTAGCGGATCAGATGAACCTTATTTTATCCAAACGCTTGTGGTACATCATGATAGAACAGTTCTTGATGAAGTATGTTTGGAGCGGCTGTGGATTAATTATGGTGGCTATACCTATTATCACTGCAACTGGCTTTGCAGATGGTGGTAATGACATTTATGCTTTGTATTAAATACATGGCTAACATTGTTTCTCCAGAAGGTGTCATTGATAGTTTTGTGTGGGTGAAGCTGTATATATGACCAGTATTCTCAGTTTTTAGTGGTCAGAAAAAATGACAGGCTTTTCAGTGTTCAGTAAGGAGACCAGAAATATGAAAGAAGGGAGACAAGTGATTCAGAGGATCTTTCCAATTCTGAAATATTTTAGAAATCTCTGATAGTGTTTCTGGGAATCTGCTTTGAGCAGTTTTAACTATACTGCCTAATACAGAATGGTTCCCTAGCTTACGTGTATCATCAAAACAGTACCTTCAGAAAAAGTATAAAGTATAACCAAGAAAAACATGTTTCATTCTTCATGTCTCTTGCATTTAGTCTATAATATTCTATAACTGAATTGGCCCTGATTATGATTGGATTGGTTCACATCAAAGAATTCAACTTACCACAGATCAAAAATATTTGGGAAATGGGCCGGGGATTTAGCTCAGTGGTTTTGCCACCTGCTGCGCAAGCACAAGAACCCAAGTTCGATCCCCGGTTCCAAAAAAAAAAAAAAAATTGGGGGAAAAAATATGTCTTTAACAAACATGTACTTCTTTCTTGTCATTATTCCCTGAAGAACATAATAGAATAACCACTTACATAGCATTTATATTAGGTATTAATACCTAGAGATAATTTAAAGTATAAAAGAAGATGTAAGTTGTGTGCTGCTACAACCCCATTTTATATAAGACACTTGAGCATCTGTAGATTTAGAATCTCCAGAGATTCCCCCTTCCCCTGTGGGTACCAAAGGATGACTAATTGAAGTAGCAGTATTTTCTACTCTTGGCCCAAAATAAAACCTCCTCTTCCCTCTTTAAAAGCCACTTGAACAAAATTTGGCCTAGTGTTGAAGGAGCCAGACAAAAGCTCAAGCTTCACAGCAAGAAAGAGCTCTGTTCAAATCTTGGCTCCTGCTCTTCCTGCTTAGATTCTCTTAGTCATATTAATGAATCTCTCCAATCTTCAGTTTTCTTACCTATAAAATGAGAATCAGGAAGGCTACCACATGGGATTATTGTTTGGATTTAGTAGAATGATGTTTATAGAGTACAAAGCATGTTATACTTGCTATATGGTGACAATTATTACTTAAAAAACAAAAGACAAGAATAATGTAACAGAATTCACACTATTTTTATAGTTATTATGGTGTACAACTAATGATTAATATTTATTTTGTTTAGGGTGAACTAATAAAAACAAGTTAAAATATAGTGTTCTTCAATATTTTGAAACAGTGATTCAATGCTTTAGCATTGCTAAATTTGAGTCATTCTTAATCTAAAAATGTTTATTTTAGTAAATTATGAGTTGTCAGTTCTTCTTCATGGTAAGTGCTATACACACACCGAATATACTATGTAACTAAACTGTTTAATAGAAGCATATTTAGGCCACTGGGAAAATTGAATTGTATCTGTATGTTTCCAAAATTTATCCAAAAAGTACCATAAAAAGTTTATATTGAAAAAGTATTGTTAGTATAGTATTTTAGACATAATCCCTTTGTAGTGAAATAAATAACATTTTCAAAAGAGTATTAGAGAAAAAAGACTTAAAAACCTATGGTTTTAAGATTAGTTTTACTAAGAAATTTGACAAAATATTCATTAAAAATTATCCATTAAAATAATAATCACTGGGCCAGATGTAGTGGCACACAACTGTAATCCCAGCACTCTAGGAAGCTGAGGCAGGAGGCAAGTTTGAAGCCAGCCTGGGAAATGTAGCACATCAGCAAGACCCTGTCTCAAAATAGAACATTAAATAAGGTCTGGTTCTGTAGCTCAGTGGGAAAGCCCTGAGTTCAATCCCCAGTACTGCAAAAAAAAAAAAAAAAGAGAGAGAGGGAGAGAATCATTAAAAAGTTTATGTATAATGTAAATTAGAGACAATCCCTTAATGGTATGGTTCTGTTAGCAGTGTTTGGTTGTGTTAGAAAACCCTGGAGTATTCAAAACAGAACAAAGAAAATGTAGCTGTTAATGGTGACAGATTAGTCCCACAGAGACTAGTACAAAGTAAACAGTGTATGGGAAGAATCTATAAAGCTTACTTAACAAGATGTAATAAGATACTTAAAAATAAATCCTGAAAAAAAATTAAAAGAACATTATATTAGATTAAAATTTTAGTAATACTTAAATTGCTGCAAACAAAACAAAGTTTATCTTAAGGCTTTTTCAAAAAAATTTTATACAGAGAAGAGCAATGTAAAAGTTTTATACAAGAAAAAATGAAATCATGACAACATTTTTGAGAGTGCTTCAAAATATTCTCTAATATCTAAGGTTATTACATGTTTTTATTTGTAAATTTATGGATATATTTACTAAATATACTTGACCTAAAATGAGTAACATGTGAAACCATTATTTCACTTAGGTAAGACAAATTTTTAAAGAAAATGATATATCTTTGAGGCTTTGTGTCTTGGAATTACGTACCATATTTTCTAATCTAGTCTTCAATTTTAATTTACACTTAATCCCTTAGATTTCTCATATGTTAGAAAAGAATAAGTTCATAATACTTATATTTTAAGACAAAAGGAAGTAGAAAATAAATGAATGAGAGAGTACCAAAGAGAAACGGAAAAAAATAGGATGAGGAGGAAAAAGACAATAGAAAAGGGGAAAAAGAAAACTTTTGGTTTGCTATTTAATGGTCATTCACCCTTGGAAAAATTACATAAACTTTAGAAGTTTCTTTTGGCATATTATTAATAGGAATAATAATAATATATATCATTAATATGTATTATAAAATTATCTGTGATTTACTTAATGTGCTTTGAAACAGTCCTTGACAAGTTGTAAAAATGTAGGTGGAAGCAGTTGTTAATTATTATTTTCTTACCCTGTTGGCTCTGGAATTAGACTATCTGGGGTTCAAATGGTGGCTATTTTGCTTGCCAGGCTATGACATGAGGCAAACCATTTAAGTTTTCTGTTTTTTTAATTGATGCTTGTTGGTAAAACAGAATAGTGATGTTAAACAGAATAGCAATGGGTAAATTGATGCATGCATGTGACATAGCTTTGTAATTTTCAATGCCATTACTCCCCTCTCCTTTTCCTCCTTCCTCCTTTTAATCCACTTCCCCATCTCCAAAGTCTATTTTCTAGTTTACTGTTATGTCTCCTTTATTTTTTATTTATGTGTTTGCTCATTTGTGTGTGTTCAGGTTTCTTGTATAAAATATATATATAATATTTGACTTTATAATTCTGGTTTACTTCCCTTATCATTACAGTCTCCAGTTCCATCCTTTTCTCTGTACATGATGTGATTTCATTCTTCTTTATGACTGGTTAATATTGCATTGTGTGTATATACCATATTTTCTTAAGCCACTCGTCTGGTAAAAGGCATCTAGGCTATTTCCACAACTTAGCTATTGTGAATTATGCCATAATAAATATAGGAATTGCTATGGTCTTTAATTCTGTAGGGGATGTACCCTGGAGTGGTACAGCTTTATCAAATGATATGTCTACTTTTAGCTTTTTTGAGGAGTCTCCATACTGATTTTCAGAGTCCTTGCACTACTTTACATCTCAACCAACAATTTAGGAGGGTTCCTTTAGGAGGGTTCTGCATCTCACCAGAATTACTTGTTTATTGAATTCTCGATGTTAGCCATTCTGACCGAGATGAGATGAAATCTCAAAGCAGTTTTGATTTGCATTTCCCTAATGGCTAAAGATGTCAAGCATTATTTCATATACTCATTGGCCATTTGTATCTCTTCTTTTGAGGAATGTCTATTCAGTTCAATTGCCCATTTTTTCTATTCAGTTCAGTTCCCCATTGTTTGGATATAGGCCATCTGTTTGGTTTTTTTATAGTTCTTTATATATTATAGGTAGAAATCCTTGGTCAGAAGAGTAGCTAACAAAGATTTTCTCCTATTCTGTAGATTGTCTCTTCACTCTGTTTATTGTTTTCTTTCCTGTTCAGAAGCTTTTTAATTTGATATAATCCTATTTGTTGACTTTTTATTGTTTGCTGTGTTATTGGAGTCCTATTTGGGAAGTCTTTGTCTGTGCTTAGGGCTTCAAGTATTTCCCCTATGTTTTCTCCCAGCATGTTCAAACTTTCTGATCATATATTTAGGATGTGGTCCACTTTAATTTGATTTTAGTGCAGAGCGAGAGGTAGGGATCTAGTTTCAGTCTTCTGTGTGTGGCCCTCTATCTTTCCCAGCACCATCTGTTAAGGAGGGTGTCTTTTATATAGCCTATGTTTTGGGCCCTTTGTGAAAAATCAGATGGCGGGAGTGTAGATTCCTGGGTTTGTTTTGTGTCTTCTGCTCTATTCCATTGGTCTACATGCCTGTTTATGTGCCAATATTATGATGTTTTTGTTACTATGGCTTTGAAGTATAATCTGAAATCCATATTGTGATGCCTCACACTCTGCTCTTTTTGGTCACAGTTGCTTTTGCTATTTTGAGACTCCTCTGATTCCATTGATTTTTAGAATATTTTTCTAGTTATGTGAAGAATATTATTGGTTTTAATAGGGATTGCACTGAATCTGTTGATTGCTTTTGCTAATATGATCATTTTCACAATATTAGTTCTTCTAATCCATGAACAAGGAAAGTCTTTCTATCTTCTAATGCCATATTTAAGTTCTTTCTTCCATATTCTGTAATTTTCATTCTGGAGGTCTTTAATCTCCTAGGTGAGGTTAATTCAAATGTTTTTCTGGATGTTTTTGCTTTTTTGTCCTTGTACGCTTGTGAGCATAATTATTTTCCTGATTTCTTTCTCAGGTTAATTACTGGTGTACAGGAACACTATTGGTTTTTGTTTGTTGATTTTATATCCTGCCATCTTAACATTTTTGTGCTTCAATTTCCTCATTTCCCAAATAGAGAAAATTAGCAGGGGTTTTACAAGAGATCACATATGCTAAACTCAGAACAGTGACTGACTTGTAGAAAATGATTAATGGATGTTTGCTTGTATGATTGTTAATGTTCTTTAAAGAAGTGGAGGATTTGAAGTCATAGGTGATACTATGGGTAAGAGAAACAACATGCAAGTTTTTCGCTGGAGGGTGAAAAGAAAAATAGCTCTGCAGTATGTTTTCTGGGCCATCCACTTACAAATTCTACTAAAATTTTGTGGTAAGGATAAGATTATATTAATGTTTAAGTTCACAAAATTGCATGGAGAACGTGCCATTTTCACATTAGAAGAGGAGCTTACAGATTTAGTTTAGAGCCCCAATTTTACCTAAGTGCACACAGGTTCTGGAAGTGTGAAGGATGGGATATTATGTAACTTCTGGGCACTGCTTTTTGCTTCTACACCCTGTTGCTTCCATATCCTCTCTATTGAAACTTATTCTGTAAGAGACCTGGGTAAGTTTAAAACTAATTAATTATAAGATACAATGATAGAAAAAAGAGACAAAACAATAGTTATAGTTTTATTATATTATTTTAAAGGACATTACTCCTTTCTTTATATGAAGAGAAAGACATATTGTGTGAAGAAAATAGATATCTGAGAGCTATAAGTTCAACTTTTGTAACATTAGTAGGCAACTTTCCTCTCTTTATACCAAATGCAGTCTGGACAAGGTCAGGTAAAGCTACTCATAGGTTCCTTTTGCCAGACCCTGCTACAGATACCTGTCAGATGAGGAAAGACTGCATCTGTGCTGCTGTCCTTGCCAAGTGTCCATCTGTGATGTGCAGTTGGAGGTGACGCAGCAGAAGTTGCAACTAAGAGCTACCGCTCCTAGGAGTGAAACTGAACTCTGTCTGCACCCTAGTGTGAGGGATAATGTTTTCATTTCTAAAATGTTCCTTCAATAAGATTATAGCCATTGCACCTGCTATATTATATTTTCTATTCCAATCCCAAATTATTGAAATGTCATTTTATATTATTGGACAGTTTGGATTTATTTACACTTCTGGTGAACAAGTAAACATATCAGTAATTCTTAATACATATCACACATACATTTTAGCTGTAGTTAGTCAAAAACATTAAGTGACTATGATTTTTAAAAGTATAACACACATCCCAACAAGCACACAGTCATTACTGTACTATTCAATAAATTTTCACAAAGTGAGTATATAAATAATATCACCAC